ACCAGGAGCCTCCAGGTAAAAGGAATTGCACTGAAAATAACCCTTGTGTCTGTTGGAGAACTCGGTTAATTGCCTAATTGTGACATATGTTCAACGGGATACAACGTTTGTCTGACCCGCCGCCCTTTCCCTCCGAGTCGAGGTCATGGACTTGATTGTTTGACCTCTAGATATATCTCCCCTCTCCCCCCTTCCACCGTTTTATTCCCTCCTCCCTTTTCCTCCATCAAATTCTCTCCCTTTCTCTTTACCTTTACCCTTCTTCCCTCGCCCCTTCCTCTCTTTACTCTACGTTACTTTCGTCCCTCGCCCCCCCCCCCTCTCTTTACCCCCCGTCACTTTCATCTCCCCTCACCCCCCATCAACCTCCCCTTACCCCCCCATCACCTTCTCCCCTCACCCCCCCCCCCCCCACTTTGCCCCCCATTACCTTCTCTCCTCATCCCCTCACCCCCCCCCCCCTACGGTTATTTTACTCATCATGATACATCTCCTTCTCCTTCTCCTTCTTCTTCTTCTTTTTCTTCTTCTCCTCCTTCTTCTTCTCCTCCTTCTTTTCCTTCTGTTCTGTTGTGTTTGGATTTCCTATGTCTGGATTTCTGTCTCTCTATGTCTGTATCTCTCTGTAACTGTCTCTTTGTGAGTCTATATATCTATTTATCTATTTATGTTTACGTATGTCTGTCTATCACTCTCTTTGTGAGTCTACCTGTTTTTCTGTCTGTCTGTCTCTGCTACGCTGTCTTTCTATATGTCTATCTATCTATCTCTGTCTCTCTAGTCGTCTGTCTATCTAACTTCTATCTGTGTCTATCTGTCTATCTATCTGTGTCTATTTGTCTATCTATCTATCTGTGTCTATCTATCTATCTGTGTCTATCTGTCTATCTATCTGTGTCTATCTGTCTATCTATCTGCCTATCTATCTGTGTCTATCTGTCTATCTATCTGTGTCTATCTGCCTATCTATCTGCGTCTATCTGTCTATCTATCTTCGTCTCATCCTCTTTCTGCCTCGCTCTTTATCTCCATTTTCTACCTCGTTTATATTCCTTCTCAACTTTACAATTCTTACACTGAATCCCCGAAGACGATTCTTGTCTGTCTCGCCGATATGACCTTTGATCTCTAACCCCCCCCCTCACCCCCCTTCACGCATACACGCATCTACGTCATGTTTTCATTATTAAAAGGTCAAGCTATCTTGGTTTCTTCCTCTTGTCCCTGTCCTGGGTTGAATTCCCTGCGTGGGCGTTTGTGGGCGTGTGTGGGTGTTGTGTTGAATGTGGGCGGGTTTTAGGTGTGTGTATTTCCATTTTTTTAATGTATGTTTATTTTAATTTTCTTTCTCTTTCTTAATTATTGATAGTGGGCGGATACAAGTGTCTATATTTCCATTTTTATATATTTTTTTTTCTTTCTTTCTCTCAATTATTGACGGTTTGTGGGCGGGTTCAGGCGTATGTAATAACATTTTCCATTTTTCATTTTTCTCTCTCTCTCTCTTTCTCTCTTTCTCTTTCTTCCTCCCTCCCTCCCTCCCTTCCATCCTTTCTCCCTCTCTGCCTCTCTTCTTCTCTCCCCATCTTCTATTCTCTCTCAATTATTGATTTGCAAGTTGGGTATTTTTTCATGCGAACGTCTTGCTTGTTTCAGTTGATTGGTTTGTATGATTAGAGTTTAAAGTTCGCAAGCAAGATGTATTTTTTTTATACTTGCATTGTTTTTTTTTTATCTTACATTTTTCCAGTCTTCGATTATTAATTGTGTGATATATTCTTGATTCTGTATTTAAATATTCTTGGAAGGTGCATCTGATCCCTGCTTCTGATTCAAGCTATTTATACCTTCCTTTCTCTTATCTCCCTTTCCCTTAATTCTTCTTTATTATGTTTACTTTATTTCCCTCGACCTTGTCTCCCTTCCCCCCCCCCCTTGTCTTAACTCATTCTTCGCTACTATTTTTTGTTATCTATCTTCGTTTCGTTTGTTTTTTTTCTCTCTCTTGTCTACTCCTTTCCTTTATATATTCTGCTTTCTTCTCCTTTTCCCCCTTTCATTTCCTCCTTTTTCCTTTCGTCTCATATTTCCCGTTGTCTCTATTTCCCTCTCCCCATCCTTCTCCCCCCCCTCCCATCTTTCGATCCCCACCCCTCCCCCCTTCCTTCTCCCCTGCCACCTTTCCCCTTCCATCTCACTTGCCAGCTTTCTCCATCCCTCTCCCCTCCCCCTGTCCTTCCCCACCTCCCCCCCCCCTTATGTCAAGTGTGCTCCTGACGCAGTGCCCTGTAAGTCAACCTATTTCCCTGTTTGTCTTTTCAGGGGCCCCTCATAGCCGCCTATGCGAATGGATATCACTGAGGAATAGATCATGGTACGTAGGAACGTTTAAGTGTAAGAACGTTTATGGCTGAGAACGTTTATGGTTTAGAACGTTTATGGCTGAGAACGTTTATGGTTTAGAACGTTTATGGCTGAGAACGTTTATGGTTAAGAACGTTTATGGCTAAGAACGTTTATGGTTAAGAACGTTTATGGCTAAGAACGATTATGGTTTAGAACGTTTATGGCTAAGAACGTTTATGGCTAAGAACGATTATGGCTAAAAAAATGTTTATGGCTGTGATCATTTATGGCTACGAACGTTTATGGCTAAAATCGTTTATGGCTACGAACGTTTAAGGCTAAGAACGTTTATGCCTAAGAACGTTTATGGCTAAGAACGTTTATGGCTAAGAACGTTTATGGCTAAGAACGTTTATGGCTAAGAACGTTTATGGCTAAGAACGTTTATGGCTAAGAACGTTTATGGCTAAGAACGTTTATGGCTAAGAACGTTTATGGCTAAGAACGTTTATGGCTAAGAACGTTTATGGCTAAGAACGTTTATGGCTAAGAACGTTTATGGCTAAGAACGTTTATGGCTAAGAACGTTTATGGCTAAGAACGTTTATGGCTAAGAACGTTTATGGCTAAGAACGTTTATGGCTAAGAACGTTTATGGCTAAGAACGTTTATGGCTAAGAACGTTTATGGCTAAGAACGTTTATGGCTAAGAACGTTTATGGCTAAGAACGTTTATGGCTAAGAACGTTTATGGCTAAGAACGTTTATGGCTAAGAACGTTTATGGCTAAGAACGTTTATGGCTAAGAACGTTTATGGCTAAGAACGTTTATGGCTAAGAACGTTTATGGCTAAGAACGTTTATGGCTAAGAACGTTTATGGCTAAGAACGTTTATGGCTAAGAACGTTTATGGCTAAGAACGTTTATGGCTAAGAACGTTTATGGCTAAGAACGTTTATGGCTAAGAACGTTTATGGCTAAGAACGTTTATGGCTAAGAACGTTTATGGCTAAGAACGTTTATGGCTAAGAACGTTTATGGCTAAGAACGTTTATGGCTAAGAACGTTTATGGCTAAGAACGTTTATGGCTAAGAACGTTTATGGCTAAGAACGTTTATGGCTAAGAACGTTTATGGCTAAGAACGTTTATGGCTAAGAACGTTTATGGCTAAGAACGTTTATGGCTAAGAACGTTTATGGCTAAGAACGTTTATGGCTAAGAACGTTTATGGCTAAGAACGTTTATGGCTAAGAACGTTTATGGCTAAGAACGTTTATGGCTAAGAACGTTTATGGCTAAGAACGTTTATGGCTAAGAACGTTTATGGCTAAGAACGTTTATGGCTAAGAACGTTTATGGCTAAGAACGTTTATGGCTAAGAACGTTTATGGCTAAGAACGTTTATGGCTAAGAACGTTTATGGCTAAGAACGTTTATGGCTAAGAACGTTTATGGCTAAGAACGTTTATGGCTAAGAACGTTTATGGCTAAGAACGTTTATGGCTAAGAACGTTTATGGCTAAGAACGTTTATGGCTAAGAACGTTTATGGCTAAGAACGTTTATGGCTAAGAACGTTTATGGCTAAGAACGTTTATGGCTAAGAACGTTTATGGCTAAGAACGTTTATGGCTAAGAACGTTTATGGCTAAGAACGTTTATGGCTAAGAACGTTTATGGCTAAGAACGTTTATGGCTAAGAACGTTTATGGCTAAGAACGTTTATGGCTAAGAACGTTTATGGCTAAGAACGTTTATGGCTAAGAACGTTTATGGCTAAGAACGTTTATGGCTAAGAACGTTTATGGCTAAGAACGTTTATGGCTAAGAACGTTTATGGCTAAGAACGTTTATGGCTAAGAACGTTTATGGCTAAGAACGTTTATGGCTAAGAACGTTTATGGCTAAGAACGTTTATGGCTAAGAACGTTTATGGCTAAGAACGTTTATGGCTAAGAACGTTTATGGCTAAGAACGTTTATGGCTAAGAACGTTTATGGCTAAGAACGTTTATGGCTAAGAACGTTTATGGCTAAGAACGTTTATGGCTAAGAACGTTTAAGTGTAAGAACGTTTATGGCTGAGAACGTTTATGGCTAAGAACGTTTATGGCTAAGAACGTTTATGGCTAAGAACGTTTATGGTTAAGAACGTTTATGGCTAAGAACGTTTATGGCTAAGAACGTTTATGGCTAAGAACGATTATGGCTAAAAAAAAAATGTTTATGGCTGTGATACTTATGGCTACGAACGTTTATGGCTAAAATGTTTATGGCTACGAACGTTTAAGGCTAAGAACGTTTATGGCTAAGAACGTTTATGGCTAAGAACGTTTATGGCTAAGAACGTTTATGGCTAAGAACGTTTATGGCTAAGAACGTTTATGGCTAAGAACGTTTATGGCTAAGAACGTTTATGGCTAAGAACGTTTATGGCTAAGAACGTTTATGGCTAAGAACGTTTATGGCTAAGAACGTTTATGGCTAAGAACGTTTATGGCTAAGAACGTTTATGGCTAAGAACGTTTATGGCTAAGAACGTTTATGGCTAAGAACGTTTATGGCTAAGAACGTTTATGGCTAAGAACGTTTATGGCTAAGAACGTTTATGGCTAAGAACGTTTATGGCTAAGAACGTTTATGGCTAAGAACGTTTATGGCTAAGAACGTTTATGGCTAAGAACGTTTATGGCTAAGAACGTTTATGGCTAAGAACGTTTATGGCTAAGAACGTTTATGGCTAAGAACGTTTATGGCTAAGAACGTTTATGGCTAAGAACGTTTATGGCTAAGAACGTTTATGGCTAAGAACGTTTATGGCTAAGAACGTTTATGGCTAAGAACGTTTATGGCTAAGAACGTTTATGGCTAAGAACGTTTATGGCTAAGAACGTTTATGGCTAAGAACGTTTATGGCTAAGAACGTTTATGGCTAAGAACGTTTATGGCTAAGAACGTTTATGGCTAAGAACGTTTATGGCTAAGAACGTTTATGGCTAAGAACGTTTATGGCTAAGAACGTTTATGGCTAAGAACGTTTATGGCTAAGAACGTTTATGGCTAAGAACGTTTATGGCTAAGAACGTTTATGGCTAAGAACGTTTATGGCTAAGAACGTTTATGGCTAAGAACGTTTATGGCTAAGAACGTTTATGGCTAAGAACGTTTATGGCTAAGAACGTTTATGGCTAAGAACGTTTATGGCTAAGAACGTTTATGGCTAAGAACGTTTATGGCTAAGAACGTTTATGGCTAAGAACGTTTATGGCTGCAACCACCACGAGATTCCTCAAGACTCTCTCTCAAGCCTTGAGGAACTCGATATACACACACATGCAAAAAGAAAAAAAAAAGGATGGGACCTCCTCCTCCTCCTCCTCTTTCCCTTTCTCCACCACCACCGCCACCACCACCAACCACCTCCACCACCAACCACCACAACCACCAACCACCTCCACCACCTCCACCACCTTCGTCCTCGATCTCACAATGCATCTGTACCCCCTCGCTCCCTCGGCACGGTCCTGGTACTATTATTTTGTGTCCCCGGGATCAAGACCGCAGGAGGCCCTCTCTCGCGAGCCCCGCTGGAATCCCGTCTGGAAGAAGTCTATGTAGCTATATACGCCCGTGCTACTTGCTACTTATCTTCGTTTTAATCCCCGGAGTGTCGTTTCGCCTCCGACTACGGCTTGGCACCAAGCCTTCATATAATAACAAAACTTAAAAAAAAATACAAGCTTTACTGCAGTGGTAAATGACATACTATTGTTATTGCATGTCACAGTGACTCGGAAGTTGGTATTTATATATAAATATATATACACACAGACAACTGTGGCTAGCCATTTAAGTTTTTGTGTACATGAAAGAAGTGTTTGCATCCATTGAGACATTGTTCAGGTTGCTTTACAACTTGTGACGGGGTTTGTCATTTTGATGAAAGAAAGAAAGGAAAAAAATGTTCAGTGCGAGCAGGTATATATGATTCTCTCTTTTTTTTAATCTCTTCGAAACACCGTCGATGGAAAAAAAACAGATCCCAACGGACCATAGAGTTCAAAATAGCCGATCTCGCCACAGAGTAATGAATGGTAGTCTTATCACATTCACACCTCATAGAGATAAATTAGAAACAAACAAAAAAATATGTACAGGGTAAAAAAAAAAGAAAAGAAAGAAAATACAACAACAGCAACAAAAACAAAGAACAAAGCAATGGTTTTTAGAGAAAGAAGCAGAATTTTCAAGACAAGAAGATATTTTGTGTTCGTCGCCGGCGAAGATGGAATACCTCTATCTCTCTGCCTGTCATAGGGCTGTTTCATTCCCTTCTTAACTAAGGGAATGAGCTTTATTGCAGAGCTACAAGAAGGATCATATTCGTTGGCCAAGTCACATTTCCACATTACTGGCATGACAGGGTAAGCTTAGGAGATATATATTTTTTTTTCTCTGAATTTTTAAACTATGTTCAAAGTTGAAAACCTCAAATGCGCTTTTCACTTAGTTGTTGTTCATGAAGAGTTCAATGCAAATAGAGGCTTCTGTACAATATATAAAGAGGATTATTGTTAAATTTGCATTGATAGAAATTCTTGTACTTATTATTTTTATTTTATTTTCTTTCTCTCTCTCTCGCTCTCTCGCTTGCTCTCTCTCTCTCTCTCGCTTGCTCTCTCTCTCTCTCTCGCTTGCTCTCTCTCTCTCTCTCTCTCTGTTTCTCTCTCTCTCTCTCTCTCTGTTTCTCTCTCTCTCTCTCTCTGTCTCTCTCTCTCTCTGTCTCTCTCTCTCTGTCTCTCTCTCTCTGTCTCTCTCTCTCTATCTCTCTCTCTCTCTCTCTCTCTCTCTCTCTCTCTCTCTCTCTCTGTCTCTCTCTCTCTCTCTCTCTATTTGTTTTTAAATTTCAACATCTTTGATCTTTAGATGTTTAGAGTTCTTCCCCATTTTATTAAATAACCTTTAGGTATTTACTTTTTCGAAGTTCTTGTTGGAAAGATGATTTGTTAAGGATTCATATGTTTAAAGAAAAGTC